CCGGGGTGGAGGCGTTGGCTCTGCGGGAGGGGAGGAAGAAAACGAAGAAGATGCCGGGGTGGGGCGGCGGCGGCTAAGGAGCGGCAGCAAGGAAAGTAACCGCGGCCAGGCGTCGGAGGAGAAGCGCTGCTGCATTGGGTGGGGTCCGAAAGGAGGGCCGGGGTGGAGGCGTTGGCTCTGCGGGAGGGGAGGAAAGGACAAACCCAAAAGGCAGTCTGGACTTAACGGGGCCTCTCTCACCGCTGTTCAAGGTAGTTTTGCAGCGCCAGGTCTCCGGGTTGCCGAGTTTGTTGCAGGACTCCCAGAGGGACAGATAAGACTGATGATCGGCCGTCACCCAGGCCGGGCTCAGCACGGCTCCCAGATCCAGACACAATGCCAGGAAGATGCATACCAGCCCCACTAGCTTGAGCGGGGTCAACACCGAGACGCGCACCTCCTCCACGCCACTACCGGATGAAGCCATGGGCAAGCGGTTCGGGAAGCCGGGCGCCCCGCTGCAGCCAGGGGAAAGGAGGCAGCTTCTGGTCCACCAGCCCCAGCCGATCAGGTGCGGCGGTGGCGGCAGAAAAGAAGACGGCCGCTCTCTCTGGTCGCCACTTCGCGGATCCCGCCGCCCGGCTCGACCCACCACATCACTCCTCCCATCTTCCCTCCCCCTCTGGGGAAGGGGCGGGCGAGTGGCACGGGGGCGGCCTCGAGCCGTAGACGTCATGCTAAGGGTTTCCTCCCGGGGGGAAAGAGGAGAGAAGCTTCTGGCCATCCCGCATCTGCTTCGGGCGGCGAAGACACGCTTTTCTTCCAAAACGCCCCCTCCTCGGGCTCCTCCCAAGGTCGTTTGGCCTCTCCCCAACTTTCCACAGCAGTACGTTCCTGTCTGCGCTTAAGACCTGCGAGATTAGGGGCGCTGGTGAAGGCGTCGCTCACTTGTCCCTGCTGCTATTCTGGCAGATGTATTCTGATGGATGTAGAAGCACTTGACGACCCTTCCGGAATTGAGTCTGGGGACTCTTCTCATGCTTCTGTGAAAGCAACTCTGGTCTGGAGAGAGAAGGAAGTTAATCTGGTGCTTCCTTGAGTAAATGTCAGATTCTTGAAATTAATTTTACATAGAATAGATATGAAAATGAAGCATGCATTTGTCAGTATGGAGTGCGTGCTTAATATCATAATCTGACTGCCTTTGATTATCCATGATTCAGAAAATGGATTTAAGGCATGGATCCCCTTGACTTCCCACTGTTACATAGTGTCCACATGAATCCATCATTTAGTCACAGGTTCAACTGATTTGGGCCATAATGACACAAAAGTGAAAATCTAGATTTTCACTAGCCATATAGATCCACCTGAGTTTTAAACAAAATACAAATAAAACCATCATTGCATTATAGAACTTATCTGGGTATGTGTAATAAACCATCACCACCACAGATTTTACAGTTTGGTGCCAAACTATGATGCAAAAATAGGAATTTTAGGCAAGGTCCCTCATGGATCCACACAATCACAGATCAAATCTATCTGCAGTCAAGGAATCATCACAACCTGGATCCAATATTTTTTACTTTTCCATGGTGCAGAAACATAAATCCATGTCTCCACAGTCTATGCCCTACTGTCAGATGACATTTGTGTCTAAGATGGTACAATTAAGATAATTGATGCAATACTAAATACTATCAAGATTAATCTGTGGAACAACTATGCAGTTGCACTGAAGGTTCCCCGTTGGATATCCATTAATTCATATATTTCTTCCAAACAGAAGGGTAATACTTGTTAAAATAATTGCTCTCTACTATTTGCTACAAATAGAATTACAGTCATTATATCAAGAATCCAGAATTTTTGGTGTATGCTTGTTACCAGGATTGATTCTCATCTCATAATTGGCATATAAAATTTTCTTTCAATATTTTAAGGCATCATTATTGGCCATCATTGTCCATTTCATATTCTCCCAAATTTTACAGTTGTCATCTCCTTGCTCAATACCTTCTTTGCTTGAACCTGGACATTATACAACTTTCATCTTTTCCACTGTGTGCTTCTGTGTAATGGTTATTTGCACTAATGCATTATTTTATCTTTCCACCATTTTCATTTTTGTTAAGTTCCTACCACAATGATATATTAACTTTTTTTCATTGTTGTTGTATTTTTTCACTTTTATGTTAGAGCACTTTTATGTATTTTTTCCTTTTTTTTTTTTTTTGCAATAAATAAATAAATAAATAAATAAATAAATAAATAAATAAATAAAGTTTCTACCAAACAGGCTTTTAGGATTACAACTAGACTTATTTATGAAAAAGCATGGGTACCAACTGGGATGTAAATTCCATTAATTTCCCCAAATGTCCATTCTGAAGTCTATTTTGCAATAATTTTACCAAGCAATTTAGTTATTTTCATAATCAGCTTTAGGCAATTTCAAATCCAAATAGAGATTACTGTTTCATCTTCTCTACTTAAATAACCAACATTCATCTTCTTTGCAAGATGCCCACTTTTTTCAGTGAAGTTCATAGGATCCTGACTGCCTTACATAGGTTAGGAAGGCTTAAAATTCGCATAAATTAGGAAGGATTGCAGCTCAATGATGATTAGTATGTTTATTGACTAGTAGTGATCTCTGTTGAAATTAAGTGGTCATTTCCCCACTTGTGATGTAGGCAATGCTAGGCAGAGACCAAAGCCATTTTCCCACTAATGAAACATTTTCATAGCAACACCCAGCCATTGTTGAAGTGATATAAAGCCTGTACTCACTACTGTTACTTTGGCCCAACAATGGTTGGATGACTCTAGAGCAGACCTGCACAACTTGTGGAGGGGATGAATACCTTAAAGACAACAGTGGGGCTCAAAGGAATAGCTGGCGCACTACTGAGCTGTTTAGTGGTACAGTAGCAGCAATAGAGTTGGCAGAGTCCATGAGGCCTGGAGGCATTGGGGCAGAAGTGGCTGCAAAAACCTAGGTGGCATCAGTGACATCTGGTGGCAGTAGACTGGTGATTTTTCAAAAGATGCTTGAGGGCCATACAAGACTGCTTGATTGTGTGCATGTTGTACAGGTCTGCTCTAGAAGATGCTGTAAGTCACTAGTGGAGAAATGGCCTCTGCTTTCTTACATATACTTGTATAGAATTACTATTTTAAAAGGAAGATTCTTGAAGTGATTTTGGAATGTAATGCATTATTTAACTTTCCATACTGGGTATGAGAAGAAACTCTCATCAATTATGTCAGCAACCTCAAGAACATGTCTCTAAATGTATGTAAGGATAGTTTCCAGATTGGCCTGCAGAAAAAGTTATCCTTCTAGCATGAAAGAGGCCTATCACATTTTAACTTATCCTGAATAGTAGAAATGCATTTTTTAAAATTATTTTGATTTACATGGACCTCTAACTTACCATGCAAATCAGGGCAGATGACAAAAAATTAAATCACACAAAGACACCTCATACATTCAGGCAATTAAATAGCTTGTGTATCCTTCTGACACATTGCCCAGGGGAAGAACCAAGAATTTAAGACCTTTCAAAAAGCAGGATCAGGGCTATCTGGGAAGAACACTGTCCCAAATATTAGGTATGGCAAGTGAAAAAGTAGGTCTCCTGGGTCCCACAAGATGACACTGCTTGAGTGATGGGACCAGAGCATATCAACTCTGTCAGATCTTAACAACCCTGCCAGATCTTAACAGATGAGCACCAGCAATTGGAGATGGGTGGTCCTGCAAATATCCAGGCCATGCCTTGAAGAACTATATAGGTCCACTAGGATCTTGAATTGCACCCAAAAGCCCCGTAACCACCAGATTAGCTTGAATAGTAACAGTGTTGCATGGCCCATAACTGCTTACACCAGTGCATTCTGGACTAGCTATAGCTTCCAAATAGTCTTCAAGGGTAGTCACAGGTACAGTGTGTTATAATGGTCCAAATGCAAAGCGACAAGGCATGAGGGACCATGAGAAGGGCTTCCCAATTCAGGTATGGGTGCAATAAGTGCCAAATGGATTTCTGCAAAGGTCTCTTAGCCATAGTTGCCACCTATTCTTTGAACAGGAGCCCTTAGTCTAGGAGGACTCCAAATTGTGCACAAATTCTGTCTTGAACAGTGTGGCCCCCATCCAGAACCAAATAGAAGTTCTCCAGATCCAGGTGGTCCCAATACCCACAACCATCCAGTCTTGCTAGGGTTAAGCCTAAGCCTGTTCTTCCCCATCCAGACCCCAAGAGGTTCTAGACACTTGAGGAAGAATCTTAACAACATCACTAGGCCAGCCTAGAATGGAGATATATAACTGAGAATCATCAGCATACTCATGATACCTAACCCCATGCCAGTGGATGACTTCACCCACAGGCTTCACATAGATGTTAAATAGAACAGGGAGAGAATTGAGCCCTAAGACATCCCACAAAGCAAGGATCTAGGTTCTCTTCCTTCTACCACATCCACTGGAACCAGCCCTGGAGGAAGGAGGAGAACCACCACAATACCATGCTTCCCATTCCCAACCCCCAGAGATAGTCCAGATGGATACTATAACTGATGGACTGAAGCCACTTAGAGATCAGGGAGGCCAGGATGAATGGACAATACTCATCCTACTCTGGCCATGGTTCATCAATAAGTGCAATCAATACTGTCTCAGTACTGTGCCCAGGCCTGAAATCTAGCTGGAAGGGATCCAAACAATTCACTTCCTCCTTTAAAGCTGCAACCTGACCACCTCCTCAATAACCTTCCCCAAAAGGGAAAGTTGGAGATGGTAAAATATTATCCAACACCATAATAACTGATCCACTGTGCAAGCATCACAGTGATGCTGCCTTCCTCTATATTTTCAAAAACCATCCTCAAGGAAAAAAAAACATGGATATTATGATTGGTATTCTTGCATCAGTTGTAATGCATGGCTTTGGCTAAAAAATAATCTGAAGATTAAGAAGTTTTACTACAAAATAAGAAATGCTTCAGGGATAGAAAAAATGATGAGGCATAAATATATTGTGAATTATATTATATTGGAGATGAGAAGGAATTTCAGCCACTTCTACTTGGAAACAAGAATAAATATTTCAGATAATACCTTCAATAATATTAAAGATTCCAGGCACAACTGCTAAGCCTTCCAAAATCTATAAAGCTCTTTATAATGAGCCTTCAAATGACCCAACACAGAGACTTGTAACTCAACAGAAAACGTAGCAGAAATGAGAAACAACAGAAACAGACAGGGACACAGATCAGTCATGATTAAATATATAGTGTATTTGAACTCACTGCACTCCTTGAGGACTTTATTCATTACTTTTCAATGCATTCTACGCTGTTTCTTGTTATGACAGTAAGAGACATTCTAAGAAAGATTTTAAAAATATGTAACACTAAATACCGAATTGCCAATGCTTTTTCCATATGGCACAATACATCAGTTGAGTTCTATCTATCTGCTTTATTGTTTAAAAAGCACACTGTTTACTGAATTCATTTTTACCATGCTTATCATACACAATTCTGAAAACAATTTTTGAATGCTTTTTAGGATTATGTCCTGTGCTGAATTAAGAAATGCAATAGAAATAATAACAGTGAAAAAGTAACTCATTCTCGAAGGCAGGTGCTGAAACAGAGAAGGCATATTCTTG